GGACGGCGCTTTACCCCGCGACAGGCTTTCTAGCCCTGGGTTCCTGCCACGGGGCAGTCAGGGGTGATGCGAGCTAATTGCAGCGTGTGTAAGCGAGTGTCCCAGCCTATATGATGTGCGTCAAAACCCAGAACAGTGAGCCCCGAATTATATTCGGGACAACAACCCCGGATTAGTAAACCCGGGACACTCAACTCCGGATTAAATTGGGGACAGTCAGCCCCAGATGAACCCGGTCCTCTGTCCTTAGCTTCAGTGGCCGTGTCCACATGAGCGTTTGGTTCCCCAGGAACAACTAGGAGCGGGACACCACGCGCCACGCCAGGGGCGGTCACCCCGGTGGGGTAGGGGAGGCTGGGCCAGCCCGGGGCTGTGGTGGCAGCCGCCATCCTGCTGCGCCCAGCCTGGCCGGGAGCCGGAGTTTGGCTCCAGCCGGCCAGGCTCTGGTTTTGAGCCCCACGATGCCTCCACCTACACCACTCTGCTTTTTTTTTTTGCACGGAGTTTTTTGACCCCTGGATAGCCAGGCACTTGTGCTCAGCCCGGATTAACTAAGCACATGCCTAGGGCCCTGACCCTTCCCCTCTCCTCTGCACCCTTGCCACCCTGGCAGCTGCTTCCTAGTGGGGAGGGGGGTCTCAATCAGCCTGGGGCCCATGAGTTTGTTTGCTTAGGGCCCACTAAAGGGTTAATCTGGCCCTGCTTGTGCTTACCACATGTGAAGGGGGGGCGGCTCACCATTACATGGAGCCAGCTTCTGTCTTTGCCAAAGGGTAGGTTGTTAGGCAGGGCCCTGACAGGAGCAAGAAAGGTCTCTGCTTGATGTGGCCTGTGCTGTAAAAAATGTTTGGGAAGTGTTCCCCTGATTCCAAGTTGGCTACTGATAAAAGAGGCAGAAACAGGCCTGCAGCCCAGCTTTTTATTTGCTTGTACTTCAAAACATACAAATAAACACTCATCCCAAAGTCTGCCTGGCTGCCCATGACAGTGCAACACAGATTCTCACTTGTACTGGCTGGGGAGACTGGAGCGGTTGGGAGAGGGCGGCAGTAGATTGGCAGAAGGTCTTCTTAAATTAGCCGAGGTCTCCAAATTTCCTTCCAGCCTATGCCCCATATTTATAGATGGCCTGTTCTAAATACTCTAAGAAATGTTCTATGATTGGTTTTATTTAAAGTTCTTCCACTGAAGCGTTGGGGACCAGACTGAGCCAGATCTCTTGTGGATTTGGAAGGCATCCATTAACTGGGATTTATATCCTTGGGGAAATAAAAGGAGGGTTTCTTATCTCCCTTCCTTCCCCACTGTGCAATGCTGTTCAATACTGGGTTCATCCTTCATTACTTTAGTAACACTGCCTTCATTTTTCATTGCCTCTGTGGCACGGCTGTTTTCTTTTTACAACTCTAAGCATCTTAACAAAAATATATCAAATACAGCAACATGGCGTTGAATACATTTGGTTACATCAATCACTATTACGACTTTTAAGATAAAGCTATGATATTTGGGTTATTGAATGCATTGTCTTATAATGGCTCCTTTCAGGCCATGTGCTTTGTTTAATTGTATCTCGTGACTGGTTTATTTAGATGTATGGATGGCTTCCTTTATTTTGCTGACCAAG